GAGTATTATTTTTCGCCTGCTTCTCTGGGGTCCCCTTGTCGCTTCTTCTTCTTTCGCGTCGCTCTCCTCTGCCTCGTTCTGCGACGCCGCCGCCGCCTGCCGGTCCCTTGTTCTCGCTGCTTCTTGCGCCTTTCGGCGCAGCTCCGTCCTCCTCGCTGCGTATCCTGGCCCCTCGAGTCTATCGAGCTCTCCTCGAGCAAGGACGAGTCTTCTGACGCCCACTGCGATCATTTGCCACCCAGTCATATCGTTGCTCAGGTCAACTCTCTCTTCGAACACTTGTGCCTTCACTGATGATGCCGGCGCTGGGGTCCCCTTCAGATCCAGAGAAAGAAAGAAAGAAAACAGACAACCCAAGGGAGGGATGGGAGGACGGCACGCCGCCACCACACAGGGATTTTAAGGAGAGGGGTGATGCGCTAGCCGTCGCCCACCCTAGGGAGTCTGCCTCTTCCTATCTCTTTTCGCAGTCTCTCGCCGCTTCTCGCTGCAACCTTCATGCCACCTCGCGGCCGATCCAATCTCTAGCACCGTTGGCTTGAACTTTTTTTTTCGCCGCAGGAGTCACGTTGCGAGTAGGCGCTGGCGCAGAGGCACGCTGATATGTCGGCAATCAAGCCCAAGCAGCCCAAGCAGCCGAAGCGCACCGCACCGCACCCAGCGTCGGTCTCGCTCTGCCCTCCGCGCCGGCCGCTGCCGCCTCACGCCCTCGTCCTCGCACCTATGGTCGGCGCGAGTGAGCTCGCCTTCCGCCTCCTCTGTCGCCGTCACGGCGCACAGCTCTGCTACACGCCGATGATGCACTCGTCACGCTTTGCCTCCGACGCGGCCTACCGCGCGGCCGAGCTTTGCACGGCGCAGGGAGACGGCCCGCTGGTCGCACACTTTTGCGGCAATGACGGAGCGACGCTGCTTGCGGCGGCGCGGCTCGCGGAGCGGGCGTCCAATGTGGTGGCTGTCGACCTCAACCTCGGCTGCCCGCAGCGGAGCGCCCACTCGGGCCACTACGGCGCCTTTCTGTGCGCCGACGCTGCTGGCCGCGAGCGGGTGCTCGGGATGGTGTCCACGCTTGCGCACGGGCTCTCGGTGCCCGTGTTTTGCAAGATCCGCCTCCTCGACGAGGGCGAGGCGGAGACGGTCGCCTTCGCACAGGCGCTGGAGCGGGCCGGCTGCGCCCTCCTCGCCGTGCACGGGCGCCTGCGAGGCATCCCTACTGTACAGATGCGGAGGCACACATCGCTGGACGTGGGGAGTGCGGGAGCCTGCCCTCTCTCCCGTAGGCAGCCCGATGCACCGGAGGAGCGGGCCTGCAGACTTGGCGCAGGTGGCTGCGGTCAAGTCGGCGCTCGCCATCCCGGCGCTCGCAAACAACGAAGCACGAATGCGTCGTGCTACTTCTTCACCACTCGCCCTCCCGGCGCAGGTGCTGACCAACGGCAATGTGCGCGGCGCCGGCGGGCTGCTCGCGGAAATCTGCTTCGCCTCCACCTAGGAGCCGTCTCGGAGCCTTCTCGGAAGCTTCTCCTAGGCGAGCTGCTCGCCGCGCTCGCAGCCACCGGCGCCGACGGGGTGATGAGTGCCGAGGGGGCGCTCGACGACCCGGCCATCTTCGGCCGCGCCGCCGCCGCAGCAGCTCGGAGGCGGCGGCGGCTGCGCCGCGTCGTGCGTGCCGCGCAGGGCGCGGAGCCGCCGAGCGCGGGCACGGCCGAGGCGCTCGCTCTGAGGCGGGCGAGGCGGCGGCTGCGGCGGCTGCGGCGGTTGCCTCTGCCCAGAGGGGATGCGGCTACACCGGCGGTGGAGTCGCCTGATGAGCTCGATCTCGCCGACGAGTATTTGGGCTTGGCGCGGCTGCACGCGGCGCCGCTCTCGTGCGCCGTCTTCCACTTGCGTCGCATGTGCCGCGACCGGCTCAAGCGGTGCCCCTGTTGCTCGAGCCACGCACCGGTGTGGACAGGACCTCTTCCCACAACAGCACTCTTCACACTGCGCAGGCGTGCACTCTCAGGTGCGAGCTGCTCGAGCCGCTCCTCGCGGCGAGCTCGCTCGACGGCGCCGGCCGCGTCCTCGCCCGCTGCCGCGAGATCGCAGACGGCCGCGGCGCTCCCTTCTTGCCTGGCGGCCCGCCTTTCGTCGCCGACCCGCCCGAGGCCAAGGCAGTGGCGGCAGCTCTGGCGGCGAGGCCGCACTTGCCAGCCGAAGAGGCGGTGGCGGTGGCGCGGGAGGAGGCGAGAGCGGCGGGCGCGCGCAAGCGGGCGGCGTGGGAGGCGCGGATGCAGCGGCGCGCGGCGGCGGGGCGGGTCCTCGGCGAAGGCGGCGTGGCCTGTCTCACGCGCGGGCTTCTCTTGTAGGCGCGCCCGCGCAGAAGGGAAGCCGGACGACCACTACACGAGCGCCGGGCTCGCGCCGCCGACCGAGGCGGAGGTTGCGGGGTTGCAAGCGCTGCCGGCGGACGAGCTGCCCGCCGCGTGGGCGAAGCAGTACGGGCGGCACTGCCGGGAGCGGTACGTGACCGGGAGGCGCGCGCACGACGCGACCGAGCGGCGCAGTGGCGCGTCTCATCTGTGCTGATCTCTCTTCAGAGGGGACGGCGCTTGTTGAAATAGGTGCCCTTGGGAGTTCGATAAGCGCGGGTGCGGCTTCTTGCACCCGGAGGACTCGCGAGAGGGGCGCGTCGAGGAGCACGAGGGTGGGTCAGCAGAGGCGGAGGGCGGTATGTGGTGTTTCGGGTGCGGGGGCGCGCCGGGGTCGGGTGGAGCGAGCCTTAGGTGATGCATGCTTATCCTCGTTATCGTGTAGATTACAAGGACCGGCCGCTCACACCCCGCGGTCGCCCAATATCACACGGTCCACGCATCCCGCGACACGAGATGATTGTGTCCACTGCTGTCAGATGCTCAGATCCTCCATCCTCCATCCACCACCCTCGCCCAGGGATCTACAATGCTGTCTTAAGGTCCGACAGGTTCGGCACCGGGCACCGCCTCGGTATACTCCGCCTGCGGGCCGACCCTCGCAGATCACAGATCACATCACGCCGAGCGTGACTCCGGATCGATGATGTCAAACTTGCGGCAGGACTGCCGGCTCGAAGTTTCTATTGACCCCCGCCCTTTCCACGGATGGCTCCACGCTGGGCCCTGGGCGTGTGCCTGCTCGTCTGGCACGCTGCAGCTCAGCGCAGGTACAACCGCGAGAAAGATCTCAAGGAGAACCAGGTGGAGCTCCAGGTGCCATACAAGATCAGCGAGAACAACCTGCTGATCCCGGATCCGGAGGGAGACAAACAAGGGCCGTGCAAGGACTCGCACGACAACTGCACTGAGTGGTCCCACTGGGGCGAGTGCGAAGCCAACCGGAAGCTTATGTCGAACCTCTGTCCGGCGGCGTGCGGTCTCTGCCCAATGACGGACAAGGAAAGGGCGCAGTGGTTTGCCGGGATGAAGGCGGCGTGCAAGGACCAGCACGAGGACTGCGAGAGTTGGGCGTTTGAAGGGCGATGTTCGGACGCAAACGACGGCATCTTTCAGCGCGAGTGCAGGGATGCGTGTGGCCTATGTCCAATGACGGCGATGGATAAGACGAGACGGCGCATCCGCTGGTGCAGACCGCTCAGCGAGCAAGCGGCGACGCGCCCCTTCCCTCCGACACGTGCATGACACGTCCATGGCGCGCTGAACAGGTGGTGGCGTGCAGTGGATGCCGGCGCGCTCGACATTCTCAAGGGGCTGCGTGAAGACAACAACGGCACGTGCGTGCGCACTCCGCACCCGGAGACGGTCCAGACTGCGCTGCATCGCGCCGCGCTCGAGGGCAACTCGAATACGGCGGGATTGGCGCGCCGAGTGGCTGGACAGACGCAGCCAGGACGTGACCGATGCTTGGCCAAAAGTAGGCCAAGTGGCTCATCGAGGAGTGCGGCCAGGACCCAAACTATGTCGACCCGCGGCGCTGCCTCCCGCTGCTTCCTTCTCGACGAGGGTCGTGAGCGGCGACGGTTGACACGTGGCGGGTGTGACCAGGTTTCGAATCCCGCCGCTACACCTCGCTGCCGGCAAAGGCGACGTCGACGTGCTGAAGGTGCTGCTCGCCCACGAGGCGGATGCAGCTAGGGAGAGAGACCTCAGAGAGGTCGCATGGCTCAAGCGTGTCGCGTACATATGCAGGCGGACGCGACGCACCTCGACGCGTTTGGAAGGTCGGCGCTCGACATTGCAGAGTCAAACGGGCACACAGCCTTTGTCGAGGCGCGTGCTCGCGCAAAAGCCGCCCGGCCTTGCCGGGCCGCTCCAGGACCACCCCCCAACCACCCCTTTTTAGGCGTTGCGATCGCACAAGACCCGAGCCGCCTTGCTGAGGGATGAGCTGCAGAAGATGCGCCAAGGCTACCTCCACGACGAGCTCTGAGTGGGAGGGGTAACCTTTCGCGAGGGTGGCGTTGGGTGTGTGTGACCGCGGGTTCGCTTGTTTTTTGTACCTCTCCCTCGCTCTTCTTCTCTTTGAGTGTGTGTAAGCTCTCTTATGCATACACATTGACGCACTTGGACTGCAACGTTCGTGTAGTGCTCCTCTTGTATCAGATACTACGTTTCGAACTTTTCGTGAGGATGAGACACGGTGTGACGCGGTGATGCTGTGGTAGACGCCCGTTGGGGGCGTGTTTCTTCAGTCCGTGCCACCGAGTCCGGGGTGCACACGGTGTGCACAGACAACTGGGTGCGGATTGAAATGAAATATTTTCCATGTCGTACGTCCTTCCAGCTCACGGCGCGATGTTAACCGCCATCGCCTGTCGGCGCGCGATAGTAAGTGCTCGCGTTTCTAGGATTCCTATCGCGGCCAGTTTGACGGCAGGAGGCGTAGCGAGAGCGACTCTAGCTCCCTGCCTGAGCATTGGCATCCGCACGCTTGCTGGGCCAGGGGCCGCTGCTACTGCAGGGTGTGGCGTCCCCCTCGTCAGGGTCAGGCCGGGAGCTGCTAGGAGGTTGGGCTGTAGCATTCGCATGCGGAGCACAAAGAGCGAGGGGGCTCCCTCGAGTTCGCCGAGCCTGCTCGAGCGGCTACAGTCTCAGCCACCGAAGATCTTTGCGGCCGTCAAGGAGAACCTCGTGCGCGACTGGCTCAACCACGTAGCAGGTGGGGACCGCAGCGAGCAGGTGCCATGCGCCTAGTGAGGCTCCTCCTCACTTCCTTGCTTGGCTGCCAGGCTTCTTTCGCGCGCTGGCTCTCGTACAGTCGGACGTGTTGCTGCTGCAGAGCTTCATGCTCACCTCCTCTAGCTTCACGATCTTCCGGCTGGGCAAGGACGCGCAGTACACCGCCGTCGGCTACGCCTTCCTCTTTGCCTCGCTGTCCGGCTTTGCAACCTTCAAGATCGCGCGCGATCGGTCTGTGGCCCGGCGGGCATGGGAGGCCGCGACTCGTTGGACACCGCGCCTGTGCGTTTGCGCCCTCTCAGGTTTGTGTGGCTCACTGAGGAGGAGGAGGCGATCTACGCGGCGCACTTCAATGACGATGAGGATGCTGGCAAGAACATGACCAAGCCTCTCTTCAAGAAGCTGATGAGCATCGCCAGGAGAGCCGAGTGCGACGCCGACTTCACCGTGCTTGAGCGAGGCAAGACATCGGGCCTCGCGCTGCTCGTCGACGGGACCGCCACGATCTCCTCCTCGACGTGGTCGACATCGATGCTCGGCAACACGGAGGAGGCGATGCAGTACCGCCTCCGCAGCTTCCCGACGACTGCCCATGCACCCGTCGAGATTGTACGCGGTCGTGGTTTCTATGGCGAGGTCTCTTTTGTGCACGGGCTCACCAGCGGCCGGAATGACGCCGCCCGCGCGGACGTGAGCTTCTCGGCAGGGAGCCGCTACATCTTTTGGGACGGCGAGGAGCTGCGCGCGCTGCTGAAGAAAAATCCGGCCCTCTCGAACGCGCTCATCGCGTGCGTCTCGATGACCATCTCACGCAAGCTCTACGACACGACCACCTCTGTCGACAGCACAAGCAGGGACCTCCAAACCGCGCGCACAGAGCTGGACGAGGAGGTGTATCGCCGCGACGCCATCAGTGTGGCGCTGCACGCTCTCGTGGAGCAGAAGGATTGCGAGGAGCCCGGCAGCGGCGCGAAGCTCTTTGCCTACCTCGAGGACTTGAGAGCCAAGCGCGCAAGCCGCCTTGGCCCCGTTGCAGCCGCTGGAACCGCGACGTGTGACCATGACGCACGCGCCCACCGCAGGCACGCGATCTCGGGCGAGACGCACGAGCGGATGCTCAAGGAGCTGCGCCTCAAGCTGAGCGACGACGAGCGCATCCTTGGCCCGGACGCGCCGTCGCTGATCGACCTCTGCAGCCGGCTGGTCGAGCGCGTGCGGCCAGAGGCCAAGATTGACCGCCGCGTAAACCTGTTGAAGGGCGGCGGCTCCCGACACCCTTCCTTCGTGGTGCGTCAGGGCTCGGTCCACTACGGGGACGGGCCTGGATAGACCGCGGATCGCGCGCACGCCATAGAGGAGCAGCACCGGCAACGGGCAGCCAGGAGCGGGGAGGCGGGCTCGCGGACGGGCTTGCTTGGGAATCACGTGCCGTACGTTTGAGTCCGTCTTAGGTCCGGGGCGTGAGCCGCACTGCGCTCGCTCGCACTCGCCTACGTATGTGTTACACAGCTTTGCTTTGCGCTTTGGTTCGCAAAACACCTTCCTGGATCCTGGGTTTCATTGCTTCTGCCTCGCTGCTCTTACTGCAGCCGCCTCCGGGGCCGGCGCCGGCCGCCTCGCTTCGCCAGTGCTGTCTACGCCTGCGACACGCGTGTCGGCTCGCCGCCCGCGTCGCCCGCGGCGGGCCCGCATGGCGCGCCGCTCGTCGGGAGCGTTCCCAGCAGGCTATGCAGGGCAGTCTGCCTCACTCAGGGCGCCGCCGCCGCTGCGCGGGGCCGCCACCGGCGCTGCTGCCGTAAACAATGCCGCCAGTGTACGTCACCATCGCCTCTCTTCGTCGCCGATCTCGCCGACGCCGCTCGCCGCTCGCCGCCGCCCTGCCCTGCCCTGCCCTCGCACAAACAGACCAACACCTACAGACACACATACAGACACACACACACACACACACACACACACACACACACACACACACACACACACACACACACACACACACACACACACACACACACACACACACACACACACACACACACACACACACACACACACACACACACACACACACACACACACACACACACACACACACACACACACACACACACACACACACACACACACACACACACACACACACACACACACACACACACACACACACACACACACACACACACACACACACACACACACACACACACACACACACACACACACACACACAACACCCTGTACCCACCTCGAGCGCCCCGCGCCCTCCCACCCCACGCCCTGCGCCTCACGCCTCGCGTCCCACGCACGCCCCGCGCCCCGCGCCCCCACGCGCCTCACCTCGCGCCTCACGCCTCCCCCCCCCACCCTCTCAGGCATTTCTCCTCCCTGCTGCTCGCCGACTCCTCCTCCCCCCGCATGTTCGACGACTACCCGTCCTTCAGCGACTCCTCCCCCCTCGGCGCCAACGTCTACTACCGGGGGACCGTCGCCCTCGGGCGTACTGGCTTGATCTCAGCGGCACACGTGTACGAGGGGGGGCTCCGAAAGGTCGGCATGCCTGGCATGTCGGGCGACTAGGCAGGTCATTGACCTCCCCCCCGCTTGTCCACCCGGCGAGAGGGGGACTCACGGGGAAGAGTCCGAACGCCCGGCCGAACAACTAGGTCATTGAGGCCCCGCCCCTCTCCCGGAAGACGCGCGCCGGCCCGGGTGACTCGCTTGCGAGGTAGATCCCGTTCCAGCCAGAGGCCGCGTGACCACCACGGGGACGGCTGGTCGAAGGAGGAGAGGCGCATCCGGATGTGGGCGCGGGACGCCCCCGGGCAGGCCTGGTTGCTCTCCTCTTCCAGAGTCCCTCCCGACGGGGACCGGTCTTAGGCCATTCCAACGGCCAGGCCGCTCGCTTAAGGCTGATTGGCTAGACGAGCGGCCTACCTCCAATGGGGCGGTCCGGGAACGCGTGGAACCTGCCCACCTCGGTGGGAGGTGGTTTGGCGCCGAGGACCGCCCTCTCCAGACTCCATCACCCTCGCCCAGGGATCTACAACGCTGTCTTAAGGTCCGACAGGTTCGGCACCGGGCACCGCCTCGGTATACAAAATGCGCCTGCGGGCGGACCCTCACAGATCACAGATCACCTATTGCGGTCGCCGACGCCCATCTGCAGCCTGCAACGAAGCGAAATCCCTCCGTGAATTATCCGGCTAGCCATGTCATCCATCGCGTACGTTTGAGTCCGTCTTAGGTCCGGGGCGTGAGCCGCACTGCGCTCGCTCGCAACTCGCCTACGTATGTGTTACACAGCTTTGCCTTTGCGCTTTGGTTCGCAAAACACCTCTTGCAGGTGTGAACACAGAGGAATCGCTGTACTCAGCTGCTCCGCTTACACTTACCTGTGAAGCGTGAACAGCGATTTTGAACAGCGTTCCTTGAGATCGGTGTCGAAACACCGCTCTGACAGCGTTCACAGCTGAGGCGGGCGGGCGGAAACGTGAATGGATCCCATAAACGGCGTCGGCAGTGTCGGCAGGTGCATGCCTGCCGAATCTGCTCGCCCACCTGGTGGCGGCGGCGGCGCCGCCGCTGACGACGGTACTGCGACCGGCGACAACAGCGGCGCTGCCAGCGTCGTCAATGGCGTCGGCGCAGCCGGCCGGCAGCAACTGCCGGCAGACGAGCAGACGGTGCCGCACGTTTACGCTTCACTGCATGAAGCCAACACGGTCGCTCTCGCCGCAGAGCATCTCGGCGGTGCCGATGCGGTGGTGGTGGTGGTGGAGGAGGAGGAGGAAGGCGCTGCGGCAGCGCTCCGTGAGGCTGTGGAGCGGGCTCTCGCCAGCGCCGCAGAAGCTGCGGCTTCGGGTGGCGGTTGCTCCGGCAAAAGCCATGCCGAGGCTTTTGCGGAGAGTGCGGCGCTGGAGCGGTGGGCAGATGAGCTCGAGGAGCTTGCCGAGCTCGCGGCAGCGGCGGAAGTCGCGGGTGGATCAGATCAAGACGAACCGAGGAACGCCGGGACATCGACAGCGAGGGGTGAGCTACCACATTCTTCCCGCTACGCTCGTGCTATTGGAGATGTTCATGCTGCAGTTTATCGGCCCGACGATCGGCAGCGAGGAGATATTCCTCGCCTCGCTGCTCATCGTGGGGACTCGTTCAAGATACTGAGCGACCGCGCGACGGCGATGGCGGCTGCGGCTGCGGCTATGGCTGCTTCTGCCGCTGCTGCTGCCTCTGTTGCGGCTGCTGCCATAGCTGCGGCTGCGGCCGCACCGCCCGGCGAGGCCGTGGCGGCGGCGGCGGCGGAGGCGGAGGCGGCGGAGGCGGAGGCGGTCGAGGCGGCGGAGGAGGCGGCAGAGGCGGCGGCGGCGGCGACGGAGGCGGCGGCGGCAGCGGCGGCTGCTGCTCCAACTGCTGCTGCTGCTGCTGCTACTGCTGTGGTGGCGGCATCGCCCGGCAGAGATGCCGAGGCGGCGCTGCAGGCGGCGGCGGCGGAGGCGGCGGAGGCGGAGGCGGAGGCGGTGGAACTCCGGGCCAAGCGCGCGGCCCGACGGCGGGCAGAGCTCGTTGCTGAGGGCGAGGCGATCGGGGAGGAGGTGAAAGCCTCCGGGCTGGTCACAGCCTGGAGCGAGGCCCGTCCCGGCGAGCCTGGATACGCGGATGAGAACGGGGTGCTGGTGTACCGCGAGCCTGGCCCGCAACGCCACACGTACGTCGTGCTGGAGCTGCGGCGGTCGCGCAGGGCCAGAAATGGCCCTAGGGCCAGGCGCAACACGCAGGCTGAGAGCGCGCTCCCGCTGTCGTCGGACGCCTTCCTCCAGCTGGCCGGGCGGGTCGCCGTGTGGAGGGAGCAGGTGGTGCGGGTCATGGAGGCGGACGCCCAGGAGGCGAAGGCGGAGGCGAAGGCTCGGCAGAGGGAGCGCGTCGCTGCCATCCTCGCGGGCACGGACGCTGCGGGCGCGGGCGCGGGGGTGGAGGAGGCGCTCAATTGCTGGGAGGAGGATGCGTACGAAGCGGAGACGCTGGAGGCGCTCGCCGAGTTCGGCGATTGAGCGCCTCCCTCTCTCTCCGGCTGCGCGCATGACCGGTGCGGCCTCCGAGTCGGCGTCTAGCGCGCACGATAAAGTTTTTGCTCGCCTTCCCTGGGACCCCGTGTTGCATGTCTGACTGTCTGTGTGCGATTTCGGGCCCGGGGTTGTGCGTTTACGTGAATGGATCCCTAGTCGACTTCGGCTGCGCCCCAACAATAATATGCGCGCCTCCTCCTCGCGGCTTCTCGTCGTCCTCGCGCGGCTGTGCGCCGCCCTCGCCTGTTCCACCGTCCACGTTCCTGCGCCGGGCAACGCTACCGTCATCGCTCGCACGATGGAGCTTGGCAGCCTCGGCGGCGAGGCGGCGCTCAGCTTCCGGGGCTTCCCAGCACCTAGCAGCGGCAGCGGCCTCGCGTGGCGTGTGGCGGTGCACAGGCGCGGAGAGGAGGTCGGAAAGGCCATCTCGCTCGTGTGCGACGCCATCACGCACACGTCGTGGATCACAAAGCTCGGCTATGTTTCTGTGGACGTCGCCGCTCAGAGCCCTTTCCCCAAGCTCAACGTCACAGTCAACCTTGCGAGCGACGGCATCAACGAGGCTGGCCTCACCGTGTCCGAGCACACGCTGCGCCAGAGCGTCTACGCGGACGCCGCCGCGCCAGCGCCCGCCGGCACGTCCCGCGTCTGCTTCGCAGCCTTCACGGCGTGGTTGCTCGGCAACGTGGCGACGGTGCGCGAGCTGCGTGAGGAGGTGCTACCGCGGCTGCGCGTGGTCGGGCCGGTGGTGCCGCTGCCGAGCGGCGACCTGCTCCACTGGACGATCGACGACGAACGCGAGCACGTCGTCCTCGAGTACCTCGACGGAGAGATGCGCCTGCACAACAACACGGCGGCCCGCCGCTCGCCCTGCCTCTCGACGCGCCTTCGCGCCGCCGCCCGCCCCCTCCCGACTCGCCCAGGCCCACCCCGTGCCCAGCAGGTGGGCGCCTTCACCAACGACCCCGACTTCACGTGGCACCTGCGGAACCTCAACAACTTCGCCAACCTCAGCCCCGACTGGCCAAAGGGCGGCGAGCGCATCACCGTGCAGAGCGAGGTCGGCGCGCTGCCTCACGCGGTGGGTCATGGCTTCAACCTGCTCGGCCTGCCGGGCGACGCCTCGCCGCCGAGCCGCTTCGTGCGCCTCTTCTTCCAGCGGCAGTACGCCGTGCTGCGCGCGCCTCCCGCCTCGCTCAACGAGAGCCTCTCCCTCGCCATCGGCCTGCTCAGCTCCGTCTTCATCAGCCAGGGCACCGTCGCGAGCGCCTCGCCCGCCGCCGGCTTCGAGCTCACCCAGTACTCGGTCCTCAAGCTGCCCGCGGCGCGCCAGTTCCTCTTCCGCGACTATGCGAGCCCACGCTGGAGGCGGGTCCGACTCGGCGAGCTCGACTTTGCGCCGCGGGCCGGCGCATCGGCGCGCAGCCTGCCGGTCGGGGATGGCACCCTCGGCGTCGAGGATGTGACCGCGAAGCTGGGCTGAGACGGAGTGCAGAAGAGAGAATTTAAAAGTGTTCCTCCGCTGACTCAGACAGACGAGAGAGCCTCTCGCTTCACTGCTCTTTAGCAGCTATTCGAGCAGCGGTGCCAGCGCAAAAATAAAAAGCGGCTTAAAAAAGGACGTCCGCCATCCGACGGCTTAAAATAAAAGCAAATTAATAGTGTGCTGTTTGAGTGTTTGTGGCAGCCGTGTGCTACTCCTCCTCCCCCCCGTCGGAAGCGACCAGTTCTGCCAGACGCGCTCGGTACGGCCCCTCGAGGGTGTCGTCGCCCACCAACTCCCTCGCCGCCTTTGTGCGCAACCCCATGCGCAGGAAGAGACGCAGAATCGGCTGGAAAGGCCCCGAGGCGACCGCTTCGGGTGGAAGGCCGTCGAGGAAGGCCGTGATGGCCTTGGAGAGGGCTAGCGAGCGCGGCGTCAGGAGCGAGGCGTACTTTGGGTTGAGCAGCACGCGGCAGCGGCGAGACTCGACCGCGGAGCCGACGTGGTCGAGGAAGATCTCGAGCGACCTCGCGTGGTGCTGCAGCCGCTCGCGCTGCGTCAGGCGGACAGCGCCGCCCGGCGGGAGGTGCAGGCCGTCCACAGGCGTCACGTGCAGGAGCGGCCGCCACAGCGCGTCGAACATGCGGTCCGCCTCGAGGGGAAACATCGTGCCCAGCGACGTGCGCCCCGGCGGGCGGCGCCACGCCGCCGCCCCCTCCACGCCGGCCCTCGCCTCCTCCGCCGGTTGCCCCTCCGCCGCCAGCCCCTCCTCCGGCAGCTCCTCGCGGCCGTGGTTGGGCGCGACGGACCCGCGGACCGTCTCGACGATGCGGCACCTGTGGAGGCGGGCAGGCGGTGAGCAGGCGGCGTGGTCGAGCCAGGCGAGCGGCGCGGCACCAATTCTCGTCGCGCATCGAGAAGCCGAGGAAGAGGACGTGCTGCGTGAGGAGCAAGCCCTGCAGCACGCCCTGGCTCGCGGCCTGCTCGCGCGAGAAGCTCGCGTAGTCCGCCCGCGTCAGCACGAGCGAGTCGGGGCGCGAGACGGAGCCGTGCAGCTTGAGGCACCTGGGCACGGCCGCCGCGCCGTGAGGAGGCCTCCGCCCGCGACGCGGCGGCGCCGTGCTGTGATTGGCGCCAGCGGTCCGTCTCCCACCCCACATCCGTCGGAAGAACCGCCATGTCGACGCCTGGTGAAGTCATTGGCAGTCCATCATCGACGGTTGGACGATCTGGCCGCCCAACCGCCAGCAGTGTCGACGCCGGCGCCGCGCACGGCGAGCTCAAAGAGCTCGTCGAAGTTGCTCGTCACGCACCCCTTGAAGGGGAGGCCAGCCAGCAGCGCGTGCTGCGGCGAGTGGCGCTTCGCCATGCCGACGATCCGCGCGCAGAGCCGCTTGAGGGCGGCGTCGCCTCCCGCCCGCGCGGCGAGGAGGGAGGCGGCCTCGAGCGGGTTGAGGGAGGCGAGCGACGCGCGGTCCGGCGGCGAGATTGCGAGCTCGGCGGCAAGAAGCTCGATGAGCTGCGACCAAGAGGGCAGGCCGGCGTCGATCGAGACGCCCGCGCCGAGGAAGAGCGACGTCTGCCCGTTCAGCAGCAGCCGCGCGAGCCGGTCCACCTCCGCCTGCCACGAGCATTCCGAGAGGGCTCAGCGGAGGGTGCCGAAGCACCGGGCAGTGCGCACCGTCGAGAGACTCCGTCCGCCTCGCGCCTCGTACTCGTCGGCCGACGCGGCGTCCGCCGGCGCGCGGAGTCGGTAGAGGCGGCCGAGCTGGTCGGGCGAGCGCGCGCCGAGGAGGCGGCGGCGCGCCTGTGACTCGGGTCGAGGTCGTTCTTGGCTCCGGGTGCTTAGTTTGTGGCTCGGTGCAGTGCTCAGTTTGGGCTCGGTGATCGAAGGCTCAGGGCCAAAGCGAATGCTCAGGGGCTGGCGAGCTGCAAGAGCAGGCGGCGCCTGCTGCGCGGCGCCAAAGGCGGACGAGTCGACGGTGCAGAGGGCGACGTCGCACGCGTGGCGGCTCGCAAAGGCGTGCAGCTCGCGCAGCATCGCCGCGATGATCTCGCCGCTCTGCTCGTCGCCTCGAAGCACGTCCTCCGCCGCCAGCCCCGCGCCTACAGGAGGAGTCAGAAGGTAGAGAAGGGCTCCCGAATTGAAGCAATTCTGCCGCCGCGACGCCGGCGCCAAAGATGGGCACTGCCACAAGAGGAAGGGCGCGGCCGAAGCGCGAGCGGCCTCGCAGGTCCGCGACGACCTGGTCGAGGAACTGATTGAGCGAGAGAAGGGAGGCAGGAAGCGGCTCGCCCATCACCAGCGTCAGGTATGGGCGAGGGTGCTCGTACTGCTTGTACCGCTCTTCTCGCCGCCGCCGCAGCGCTGCCGCCGTCCGCGGAAGGCAGCGCACAGCTCGGATCGAGCTGCCCCATCCGCGTGGCCGCTCGGGCTGCTCGCACTCGCGGATCGAGCGCTGCCAACGCGGGCTCAGTTCCATAGACTCGGAGACGGGGCAGAGCCACGCGTCGCACGCTAGGAAGCGGAGGTCGGTGTTCATCACAAAGATGTGGCCTCTCCGGCGGTCGGCCAAGAGGTGGCCTCTCTGGCGGTCGGCTTGGAGGGGCGGGGCGATGAGCAGGAGGAGGAGCAGAGAGTGACACGAGCGCATGGTGCAGCAGCTGAAGAGGCGCCACGGCGGAGGAAGTGCTGGTCCTCCAGTTCGCAGCTCACCCCGTACCTGGCGCGAGAGAGCGTGCGCGTCCTTTACTCGCCAGTCCCGGTGCAGCCACACAGGCCCCTGTCGGGCCACGATAAAATCGAACGCGCTTCACAGAGTTTGGACTTTCTGCGGGGGATGGTATGGTACGCTCAACAACCCAGACCATACCAGTTTTAGGAGAGCGGGCCCCATTTTTTGGGCCGCGAGGGTACCATACCCCGGAAAAAGTTGGAACCCAGGCTCGACACGCGGTGACGGTGCGAAAGAATTGTCGCGCTAATCAGTGTTCCTTAAGCAGAGGTCGGGGAAAAGGGAGAGGCCCTATATGTACATCCGTGGCCCTCTTCTTGTTTTTTTGCCAACCACAACCCACATACCGCCTCGAGCATACCGCTACAGCTTATTCCTTATATACTTCTTTCAAAACCTGCAGCCTGTGGGCGGATCCTATTGGCACAGCTCACAACAACAAAAGTGTTAGAGTTGTTTGGTATTGCTAAAATTTTCTCTCTCAGCTCACAGCTCGCGCCGGCGCGCGCCGGACACGGACGAGTGCTCGCGATCATACTCAATGTGCTCCAGGCACAAGCCCTCGGGCGGCAGCACCGGCCCAACGATGCCGCGCATCCGCATCTCGGCCTTTGGGCAATGGCCGCCGCCGCCTCCTCCGCCGCAGCGTCCACCATCCGAGCCGGCGTCGGCGGCGAGGGCCGTCAGCACCGTCTCGGCCGGCGCGAAGCCCATGCCGACCATGAGCAGCGTGCCGGCGATGATGCGGACCATCCTGTAAAGGAAACCGTCGCCTTCGACGACGACGTCATACGCAACCTCCGCCTCGCCGGAGCCGCCCACAAGCTCGCCGCAGCGGGGCTCGACGACGCACCGGTAGACGGTGCGTGTTGTGCTCCTCTGGTCGCCACCACTCGACTGGAAGGCGGCAAAATCGTGCGTGCCGCAGCTAAAAGAGCACGAAGAGAAGGAGGTGAGGGTGGAAAGGAATCTCAGCCGAGCACGTGATTGCGTCGAGTGCCAGCTGGAATGCAGGGATATGTGGATCTACGGGTGCCGCACAGCAAGCTCGCCGCCGCCTGCATCGCGCCGACGTCGGAGATATGCAGCGGCTGTTGCGCGGCTTCGCGCCGCCGCTGCTTCCGGGAGCGAGGCGGCGGCAGCCCCGCCTGCTCCGGGTCGAGCCCTTCCTCGCGCCGCTGCCTCTCGGCCCTGGCTGCGTGCGTCGCCACCAGCTTGAGCACGCGCCGCTCCTCGTCGTCGCTAGCGTCGACGGCAGCCGGTACCGATAGCGCTTCCATCGGCACCGCACGACGTCGAAGCGGCTTGGCACGACGTCGACGCGCTTCAGCTGCAAGTCGGCAGGCAGATGTGCATTCAGAGCACCAGCCAGATCCGGCACTCGCACAGCGGAACCGTCCACACTGACACAAGCGGCCTCGCCATCCAGCGTGTCAGCGTCAAAGATGATAACCTGGCCCTCTGCCGACACGCCCGCGTCGGTGCGGCCCGCGACGCCAATCTTTACTTGCCGGCCCAACGCGGGCCAGAGCGCTTGCTCGAGCGTCAGCAGCACCGTGCGCAGCGGCGCGCCGTCCTGAGTGCGCACGTTCTTCTGCACGCCGTGAAACCGCCTGCCGTCGTACTGGGCAACTGCGCGCAAGCGGAAGCGTTGTACGGCGAGGCACAGGAATAGCGACGTGATGGCGGCGACCATTGACGCTCGTCACGTTCGGTGTGCACCTCAAACGCGACCAGCGAGCAGGGCATCTCTAAGGTGGTAGCAATCTCTTGCCGCGAAAGTTTCGCGCCAGTCGACGTTCCGCGCTCTCTGTCGCGCCTGAGCTCGCCCTTGGCGCCCGAGGCTACCCGGGACCGACAGACAGCATCAAAGGACGCGCTAGATGTGCTTGTGACCGGCGCGTCTCTCTTGACCGGCACGAGCAGTGCTGTGTGCGGCGCTCGCCACCCTGGCGATTGTGCTGGACGGCGGACGGCGCGGTTGCTCAGATGGCCTTATGACGACCCCATTTCGACATCGTTCCCAAGACCTCTACTCATGAGCTCCATGCGGGAATGATTGGCTCAACCAACTGATCACAAATTCTCTCTGCAACATCAGAGTCGTCGAATTATGCTGTCACGAGGGAGAATTTTGGCGCTTTGTGAGATATCGTGGGAATTTGTGATCAGTTGGTTGAGCCAGTCATTCCCGCATGGAGCTCATGAGTAGAGGCCTTGGGGACGATGTCGAAATGGGGTCGTCAAGGCCATCTCAGTGGCTACACGGCCTGCCACGGCGTGTGTGCCACGGCTCTGGACGACTCTGATGAACTGGCGCTTGATGGGGGCATAACTTGCGATCCCGACCTTGCGCGACGTGCCTATTAGTGCATTCTACCATCTACTCACATGGCAAGCATGGGCGACGCCTCAGGCCCCATGCCGGCCATCGAAATATAAGGGTTTGCTAAAAAAAATTTTTTTTATTGCCGCAGCGGGCCGGCCGTCGCTCCCGCCAACCCACTGCTCCCTCCCGCCGACACATGCAGGAGGAGGAGTCTCTCTACGACATCCTTGGCGTGCGTCCCAGCGCGACCGAGGCCGAACTCCGCAAGGCCTACCGGCGAGAGGCGCTGCTGTGGCACCCCGACAAGTCCACGGCGCCGGCAGAGGTCGCATCGGAGCGCTTCAAGCGCGTCTCGCACGCCTTCCACGTGCTCTCGGACGCGCAGCTGCGGGCGGCGTACGACGACGACCCTGTGCCCACGCGGAGGCGCAGCGGCGAGGACTGGGACTCGCACGCAGCGTGGGGCGCGTGGGAGGAGTTTTCGCAGGAGGACGAGCGGACGAGGCGGGCGCGCAAGCGCAAGGAGGCGGCGTTTCGCTTCGGCGTGTGCGCCTTCGCCGCGTGGAGCGCGGTCCTCGCGGGGCTGATGCAGCAGCGGCTGCGAGACAACCACCTGCTCTTCCCTCCTCCGCTCGGGCCTCTCTCAGCGAGAGGCCTCGGGGACGTCTCGCTCAAGGTTCCCTTCCGCAACCTGACGGCGCTGCTCGTCGCGAGGAGAGTCGCCACCCTCGACGCAGGCGCGGAACCCTTGCAAGACACTCTCCGAGACACCGAGACGCTCCCCACTGCCCGTGCTTCACCCGGCAGAGGGCCGCTCGAGGGTCCCTCGAGCAGACCCTGCCCAGACGCGCTCGGGCGGCCGTTGCGTCCACCCGCGCCCTCCGCCCCCCCTCTCGCCTCGCCCGCCTGGCTGACGCTGGCACCTCGCCGCAGCCTCTCGGGCGGTTGCGACGATGCCGGGGCTGCGCTCGCTCGCCCGCGCCCACACCGCCTACCTCAACCTCACGTTTGCGCCGCACGAACTGCAGCCGGTGGCGCGCGGCGCGGCGGCCGCCTCCGCGGGCCAGCCCGAGAGGGGAGCACTCGTCGCCTCGCCCCGGCGCGTCGGGGGGAAGGCGCGCTGCAGCCCTCGGAAGCCGAGGCTTGCAAGCCTCCTCCCAGGGTCAGGTGAGCACCGTGCGCCCTCCCGCCTCCAGGTGCACACCCTCTACAGCTACGTGCACGCCCTCCTCAAGTGTGAACAGCGCCTCTTCCCACCTGCAGCTGTGAACAGGTGCACACCCTCTCCACCTACGTGCACGCCCTCCTCAAGTGTGAACAGCGCCTCTTCACACCTGCAGCTGTGAACAGGTGCACACCCTCTACACCTACGTGCACGCCCTCCTCAAGTGTGAACAGCGCCTCTTCACACCTCCAGCTGTGAACAGGTGCACACCCTCTACAGCTACGTGCACGCCCTCCTCAAGTGTGAACAGCGCCTCTTCACACCTGCAGCTGTGAACAGGTGCACACCCTCTACACCTACGTGCACGCCCTCCTCAAGTGTGAACAGCGCCTCTTCACACCTCCAGCTGTGAACAGGTGCACACCCTCTACAGCTACGTGCACGCCCTCCTCAAGTGTGAACAGCGCCTCTTCACACCTCCAGCTGTGAACAGGTGCACACCCTCTACACCTACGTGCACGCCCGCAGCAGCGCGTACCACAGCCCGTGGCCGCCGCAGCGCTCGCTCTGCGTCCGGCTCCTGCGGCGCGCGCGCGAGCGGAGTTCGCGGGGAGATGGGCGATGTGCCGCCTCTCAGCCCACGCGGCGCCTCGCTGTACAGGTCCGGCACCGTCAAGCCGGCGGCGCGGGAGGCGTGGTTCGACGACCTCTCCGAGAGTGTGAGCGGCCGGCTGCGGCCCTTTGTGATGGAGGCGAGTGAGAAGAGGGACGGAAGACGCCCAGAGACTGACGCCAAGAGACAGACACCTCCCTCCCGGACACCGCTCCGAGAGAATTGAGACACCTCCGACCTGCGAGGTGCCCGAGGTGCCTCCCGAGCCACCGCCTGCGCGGCTGCCTGAGCTGCCCTTTCCCCACGACCGTGCCTCCCAGGCGGTCGAGCCGGCCGACTGCCGCGCCGGCGTCGGCGCCGCGGCGGTCGCTCTCGTGCTGCTTGGCGCCGTGGGGCTGAGCTGGTGTAGCATGCGGCTGCGCGAGCGGCTGATGGCCGACCCGGTGCTCGCCTTTGTGGTGTCCTTTGTGGGCGGCTTCGTCGTGCTGTTTGGCTTTTTGCTCCTGTGACGCTCGACCCCCCCCCGTCGCCGTGGGGCGATGGAGGAATAGGTCCCAGATGCAGGGGGAAAGAGAAGAGGAGGCGCAGTGCCCGGAAGGAGGCTTTCAGAGACAGTGATCAGTGTGGTGGTCGTAAGACAGAGGAGGGTAAACTAAAAAATGCCCCAATAACGATATACGGCTTCTTACGAACTGTGTAAGCCCACGACCGAGACGTACGCGAGCGGGACGAGGGCGCAAGTCCACGCGCGTGGGAGCCCACCTCAAATGCGAAATCCGTTATCCGGCCATTCCCCCCCGGCCATTCCAACGGCCAGGCGCGGGCCGCTCGCTTAAGGTTCCGCCCATGTGTCAGTTTCGGGGGGCACAAACCCTGCCCCCCCTAGTGCCTCTCAGGTAAGGCCCAGGTGTGGCCTCTAGGGCATCAGAAGAGGGACCAAGAGAGTCCAGTCTGCGAGAGCCATGCCCATGGGGCCCATGTCTTCCCCCCCCCAAAGGTCGCGTTCAAATGCCCGGAACGGCCGTCTCAGTGGTGTCCGGCCGGCGCGATCACCGAGCTGTGACGCTCAGGGAAGCCGGTTGAGGTACTGGTTTCTTTGCCCAGGGCTGGCCTACGGCCCATGCTGGATCAGCTGAGCAAGGTTTTGGGGAGAGTTCTATTTTTCTATATCTTCAGAAATTTTCACGAGACCATAAAAGAATCTCAGGCCGCTCGGCCCACAACACCGCGCTCGCCGTCTCCGTCCAGCTGCCAGCCTCTGCCAGGCAGTGGGCGAGCCGCCAAGCTGCCAGAACCTGCCAGGCAGTGGGCGATCCGTCCGTGCTTCCGTCTGCCAGGCCGATGCTCCAAGTGTAGCCCGCTCGAGAGAAGGGAGAAGGGCGGCTCCCTTGTACTGGGGGGGGGGGGGGGGGTCGGCTTCTTACTCTACACAGCCTCCCTTCCTCGCAACGAGCCCTCTCCAACCCACCATCCCATGCAACCGCGCTTGGTCTCGGGGGACGCAGGGGTCACTCCCGCGCGACCTCGGGAACTAGCGGGGGCAGTCGGAGAAGGGGCGACTCGGTGCTCTGACGGTCATCGCCCAACACGGTCATCGCGTGACACTAGCAAATCCTTTGGCCGAGGACCAAGGGTGACAGGGTCGAGCGCGCGAGCTTGCGCCCTTGCGCCCGTTGGCTTGTGTGAACTCTGCTGAGTCTGAACGAGCTCTGCTCGAGTCTGATAGCCGAGCCGCCGCCGCACCGCACGCGCACGCGCGCACATCCACATGCACACGCAAAAGGTTATACATTTGCCGGCGACGGCGACTCATTATTTATCACATGAAGGCCAGTCCATGAAGGTCGGAAGGGGGACGGTCATCGCGTAACACTCCTAACACAGTCAGCCGCATTGTAGGTCACTCCCGCGTGTGAGTGAGTAGTGAAAAAATCCCACCCGGGAACTAGCCGGGGCAGTCAAGAAAGGAACTCGGTGCTCTGACGAAAACGATAAAAAACGCCCATCGCGTGACACATCCAGAAGCAGGACCAAGGTGCAGACGCGCGAAAGAGCAGGAACAGCGTCCTCAGAAGCCATGCCTCCCATCAACACCTTGCCGAGCGGCGACGCCTTCCTCCCCTCGCTCGAGCTCGCCGCTGGCCTTTCATGGGTCGGCGCCGTCTGGGTCGTCGGCCTCTTCTTGATTGCGCACTCGATCCGCGCCGGCGACAAGGCGTCACACGCGCTCTGCTGGGTATACGCGGCCGCAATGTGCTTTGAGGGCTTCAGCTTCATCATCATGACCCATCGCGAGCACGACGCCATGGCAGGGACGCTCTCTCGCGACCAGTACCTCTTCCGGACGGCACTGTGGGCTCTGTCGCAGAGCGTCTCTGGTGGGTTTGGCTGGGCGTGGGTCCTCCTCCTCTTCATGAGCGCGACACACCACCGCACGATTCTTGCCTTCGGCATCACCTCGGGTGTGCTCCTCGGCCTCGTCTGCGCCACCCTCACCATGACCGGCGGCAGCACGCAGCTGGAGGTCGTAAAGTGGGCCTGGCTCTGCTTCTTCGAGAGCATGCAGCTCCTCAGCCTCTTCGCCGCGGCGCGCCTCTTCCTCGCCAAGCGGGTGGCGCGATCGGCTTCGGGCCTCCTCCTAGCCGCTCAGTCTGGCATGCTCGCGCTGCACTTTTGGCAAATCTACTTCTCCACCTTTGACCACGAGGCGCGGCGCTCGTGGTCTAACCCGCTCAAGCTCTTCCTCAACATCCCGATCGTCCTCGTGCTCGGCATCGCGATCGCGCGCGTTGCGGACGATCCGGCGTACGCGGCCGCGGCCGAGAAGGCGGCCGAGACGTCGCGCCGCGCGATCACCCGCCTCTCGCGCAACTTCGCCTCTCCCGAGTATTACTGGGGCCTCACGCTCGTGGTTCTGGCGGCGGGCTACGGCTCCTCAGCTCTCTGCCTCCGCTTTTTCGCCGGCTTCGACCGCAACCGCGATCCGATCCTGCACATGTACTCCACGTACCACCCTTGCATCCTCCTCGACTACCTCCCCGGCACCCTCTTTGCCCAGCCCCTCTTCGACCTCTCCGTCCTGCTCTACCAGGTCGTCGCCGTGCTCGCGCTCGTGCGCACGGTCTGCATCGGCGGCCTCGGCGGCATGCTCCACCAGGCCCTGACCTCGGTGCTCCTCATCGTCGCCACCACCATCTTCGAGCTCGTCTTCACCTTCAACTCCTCCAAGACGTCGCCGCTCGCTCACTCCCTCCCCTTCATCGGCAACCAGTCGAGCATCGCCTTCTTCCTGCTCTCGCAGATGGCGCACGTCTACTTTGCCACCGACCCCGCCATCCCCAAGGAGAAGAGAATGCGCTTCGTCGCGTACGCGCTGATCTTCGCCGTGCTCGAGCTCGGCGGCATGGCCTGGATGGCCGTGAACCTCCTCACCAACCTCGGGTACGGCGAGAATTATGGGACGGGGATGGCGATCGACCCGAACGCGCCGGTCGACAACTCGCACATCCACTTCAAGGCGCTGCCCTTCATCCTCGCCGTGCTGCAGATCTTCAACCAATGGATCTACGCCATCACCTCGCCGCTCAAGTTCCGCCCGCTCGTCTTCGACATCCTCGCGTCGGACGTCGCCGCGCCGGCGCGCCTCACCGCCAGCGGCGGTCGCTTCACGATGAGCGACTCGCTCGAGGCGGGCCACGGTGCGGCCAAGCTCAGCACGTGGGTCGAAGCAGGCGCCAGGGGCATGCCGCGGGTCACCATCAGCGCACGCTTCTTCCTGAGCCTCTCAGCGGCCGCCATGCTCACGACGGCGACGCTGACGTACTTCACCACCGTCGCGGTGCTCGGCCACGAGGAGACGGAGGGCTGGGGCACGCGCGACTTCATGCGGCGACGGCCCGGCTCGGTGATCGCCGCGGTCGGGTGGGTGGTATGCGCCGCGCTCCTCGGCTGCCACGTCGCCACCGTCTGCGTGTACGAGCACATGAAGAGCGAGCAGCCCGTGCTCCTCGTCAAGCTGGCCGGCACCGCCCTCGTGGCGACGTCGCTGCTCGCGCACGCGGGCACCATCCCGGGCGTGCGCGAGGATTACTCGTGGTTCCTCGGGCTGGAGTCCTTCCAGGTCTGCCTCATCCTTTGGATCGGGATGAACCTGCTGCTCAATCGCTCGCTCGCCGCCGCGTCCAACGCGCCGTCGGCCGCGGCTCTCCGCCTCGACCTCGCCGTGGGCGCCGGGGCCATCGCCGCGCTCGCCGGGTCGATCGCGCTCGGCATCTACTCGGCGCCGTGCACCCTCCTCATCGACGGCGCCTGGATCCTGTTGTTGATCGCCTTCTCCTTCACCGACCCGCGCCGCGCCCAGATCCACCTCGACTCCCTCCACGTCGCGACCGACACCGAGGTTGTCGCGGTGATGGACGACCCCTTCCCGGGCGTGCCCTTCTTCATGATGGACTTGCACGGCATCAAGGCGAACCTTCGCGCCGGCGCAGCCGCCGCAGCCGCCACCGCCGAGATGAAGACGGCGGCGAGCGCGGAGATCGTCGTCAGCCCCAAGTAGGTAGGTGCGTCAAATGCATGAGTTTCAGCAGCATGGACAGTGGAGAGCTAACGGGGCGAGTCCGGGTGTACTGTTCATGGGGATCGTGCATGCGTGGAGATGAGAGGTGTAGAGTGCGCTCCAACGGGAAGGAGGGGCTCTGTCTGTGACTGCGAGATCATCATGTTCAAGAGGAGAGAGAGAGTCATGTTCAATGCTAGATAGAGCCTACATCATTGGTTAAGTTGAGTGCCCCTTGCTTCACTCGGATCTCAAAACAAACTGACGTGTGAGTGTGTTAGAGTTGTTTGGTATTGCTAAAAATCTCTCGGATCTCCCACCTACAAGTTCAAGTACATTCCTGTAGCGGGGCGACGACCGAAGGGTAAGGGAGTTTCTTCTTCCTCTTGTGCGAGGGCGCCTGTAAAATTCTTCTTTATTCTTCTTTCCGCGAGAGACTCGTGTTGTTTAAATTTTCTTTCCGCTGCCCAGTGTAAAAGAAAGAAAGAAAACAGACAACCCAAGGGAGGGATGGGAGGACGGCACGCCGCCACCACACAGGGATTTTAAGGAGAGGTGTGTGGTGCGCTATCCGTCGCCCACCCTAGGGAGTCTGCCTCTTCCTATCTCTCTTCGCAGTCTCTCGCCGATTCTCGCTGCAACCTTCATGCCACCTCGCGGTCGTCCCACCCTCGTCGTTCTCTCCCAGTGTTGTGCGAGGGGGTTTTGTTGTAAAATTCTTTCCGCTACCAGGAAGGGTGCGAAGAGTATTGCAATCCTCGCGAAAATCGGCGGAAAGGGAGACAGACTTGACTGGGACAAGGGTGGTACGCCGTGGGCAGAGCGCTGAGCCGCTGATGCCCTTCACGTTCATCTGCTCAAAGCAGCGGCGCACCTCGGATTCCGACGACGATACACCAACAGATCCTCTCCCACCTCGCGTTGGACGCTTCGTCCTCAGCGGCATCGTGCTCGGCAGCGGCGCCACCGGACGAGTCTACCTCGGGTTTGACGCCGACACAGGGCAGGAGGTTGCGATCAAGCAGCTTAAGGGTGAGCGCTCCCGCGAGGCTCCCGCCGAGGTCGCGCCACACCAGATCGTTTCGGGGCACACAAATGTCGCGTCGCTCCTGGGACACTACTTCTTCCGCGGACAGCACTTCATCGTCCTCGAGCTCTGCCGCGGCGGCGACCTTTTCTCCGTCGCGATGACCGCCGCTGAGGGCGTGTCGATGCCCGAGGATCAGTTGGCATCCCTTATGCGCGGTATGAGCGACGGCCTCGCGCATGTTCACGCATGCGGCGTCGTGCACCGCGATATGAAGCTGGAGAACCTGCTGCTCGACGACAGCGGCAGCGTCAAGCTGTGCGACTTTGGTCTGGCGCACGTGTTCAGGCGGGATTCAAACGGCCAGCCGCTGAAGGAGGCCATCAAGCGGCGTTCGGGCACAAAGTCGTACACTGCTCCAGAGGTGCTCGCGACGTCTGGCGACGGCTTCTACTTCGCAGAAGCCGCCGACGTCTGGTCGCTCGGTGTCTGCCTCTTCTCACTCGCCTTTGGCTTTTTCCCGCTCGATGTGGCCCACCCCGCGGACTGGAGATTCGGGGCGATTCGGGAGGCGCAGGCGGCGGGACAGCCGACAGTGCCGGCCATCTTCGCCTTGTACCAACAGAGGCTGCCGCCCTGGTCGGCCGAGCTACTTAAGCTGCTTGACGGCATGCTGCAGATCGAGGTGAGCAAGCGCTGGACGATGCGGCAGGTGATGTCGTCGCGGTGGCTGCAGCAGCCGCCGCCGCCGCCGCTCAAAACGACGAAGAGCGGTCGGCAGGGGACCTCGCTCACGTCAGTGATTGACATGGACCTCATCGGGGTCTAGCGTGTAGCGACGCAGGCACCACCACTGTCCATACTGTATTTGCGAGAGCAGGGCCTCAGTCTCGCCTCGCTGCCCCCCGGCTGCACAGCAACCAACTGTACCGTGGATGACCCCACAGGGTACACCACCTTCGTACTGTCAACACATATGCCATGTTCAAAACCACACCTCTCTCATGTCTCAACCTACAGTGGTACATAAAGAACACACACGCGAGTACGTAAAATTATAAAGTCGTGTCCATGCATTTGTCTAGATAGCCGACGCAGTCTGGTCGAGAAGCCCTTCCTCCAATAGCCAAAAACAACATACAAGAGGCCACGCCGCATCAGATCACGCGGAAATGCTGCGGCATGCGCAGCACGGTTGCGCGCAGCTGATCCCGAAGGCGGTGCCCGTGTACTGCCGCAAGTCGGCTCGCTCCAGCCCCACCGCCCCGTCAAAGGTGGCAAAGTCGAGGCTCGCCGAGAGGAAGGTGGTGCCTCCAACCGCCGCCCCACGGAAGCTGGCGCGGTCGAGGGAGGCGAAGGAGAAGTCGGCGCCGTCAAGCTGAGCGTTGGCAAAGTCGGAGCCGGTGGCGTCGCAGCGCGGGAAGCGCGAGGAGCGGAGGTTGGCGCCGCGGAGGTTGGCGCCTGGCCGCACGGCAGGTGTCGCACGAGACTCGGTTGTGCGCGGAGACTCGAGAGGGAGAGTGTGCGTGGGCTTGATTGCCGGGTTATGCGGCGTTTATCTTTGTGTGTGCGTGTATCCGCAAGGCGTGCGAAGCGCACCGCGCAGCGACGCACGCGGCGCCGCGAGCGCCTGGAGAGTGGCCCTTTCGAGATTGGCGCCTGCGTGCGGGCTGCGATCGTGAGCGGCGTGACCGTGGGGCGGCGGTGGCGGTGGCGGCGGTAGAAGGCTGCTGGAGGGGCGCCACTCTGCGGCGCGCCGTCGAGGGACGCCTCGACGAGGAAGGCGTGCGAGAGGGAGAAGCCTTCGAACTTTGTTTGGCGGAAGTACGCATGGTCGAGGGTGACGTCGCTCCAGCGCGCCTTGCGCAAGTTGGTGCGCCTGCTCACAAGCCGCACCTCCGAGTGAAGCGCGCGCCCTCCTCTCCTTCGCGAGAGGAGGCGCGAGGCCGCGAGGCGCACTCGAAAGTGGAGTGGACGAAGGACGCCCTGGCGACAGCCGTGCGGGACAGGTCGGCGGAGTCGAACGTGACGTGCGACGATGCTTGCCTAAAGACCCGCTCGGCCGCACCCCGGTGAGAGCGCGGCGATCCGGTGGCGTGCCGGGCGGGGCACTCGACGGGCTCGCATGTCGCGCATCGAGGCGCCCTTCAGCATCGCGCCCTTGAAGTTGGCGTGGTGTAGGAGAGCACCTGCGGTCATGCGAGAGGACGCCTCTCAGCGGACTATTCAATCTCAGCTGACTGTTAACGAGCCACGCCACACACTGGCGGGGCGGGGCGGGGCGGGGCGGGCCGGGGGGGGGAGTATTTCCCCCCCCCCCCGTCTTGTCTTCCTTCTTTCCTTTTCGGCCTTCTATCCGATATTACCCCCCTTACTCTATTACTCCTGCAGGCCCTCTCCTCTTCTTT